CTAATAGGTGTATAGTTGTATGGTCTTGCTTTGATTTTCATTTCTCTGATGTCAAGATGTTGAACATCTTTTCTGATGTTTGCCATCTGTATATTTCTTTTGGTGAGGTATCTGTTCAGATTTTATGTCTTGCTTGATTCAAGTTTGTAATAATTGCATGATTTCAGGATACTATCTTTTTGTCAGTTATAATTAAAAATTTCTAAAATATCTACTTTGTGCTTTATTAGTTTCAGAAACTCCAAAGAATTTCTTAAGAGAAAATAGATCGAATTGGCTCGGCACCTGTAGCTCAAGTGGCTAAGGCGCCAGCCACATACAACAGAGCCGGTGGGTTCGAATCCAGCCCAGGCCTGCCAAACAACAATGACAACTACACCAAAACACAGCTGTGTGCTGTGGCAGGTGCCTATAGTCCCAGCTAGTAGGGAGGCTGGGGCAAGAGAATCGCTTAAACCCAGGAGTTAGAGGTTGCTGTGAGCTGTGACTCCATGGCACTCTACCCAGGGTGACAGCTTAAGGCTCTGTCTCAAAAAAAAGAAAGAAAGAAAAAGAAATACATCAAATTAAATAACATCTGTAGCAGCCTGTAACAGAGGGCTATTATGGCTAGGAGGAGTGAGAGTTATAAGAAATACCTGGATAGCTCAATAATGGAACACCTTGGTGAAAAGGTCATGGAGAGGGATTTAGCTCTCCTAACAAGCGCGAGAGCTTGGGAGATGAGAGCGTTGGTGAATTGGCAGTCTTTACACCTGCGGTGTTGAGGCATGAGATCAGCTTTATCTTAGGCTGAAGAAGGCAATCGGGAGTGTGTGCATTTTATCACAGACCCGCTCACTTTGACTCTGTTGCTTCTCCTGCCTGCGGAACACCAGCACGGCCTCTTTCTGCTAAAGATCACTAAGCTCTGCTAGAGACTAAGATCTATCTTTCTAAGAAGACTGCTTTACTCTCTCAAAGACTCTCTCTCTCCGCTAAAGTAAATAGCCCTCAGGCGCCTAAAAGCAATTGTTCCTGAGCCAGATAATAGCATAGTGGTCAGCGGGAACCTAGTTAAGCCAGGCTGGAGACCAACCAGTCCTGGGACCTGATAAGTGGCCTCCATGAAGGGACCCCAACAACATCTATCCTTAATTTTCTCCAGTAGTTATAAACTACTTGTATAGTAGTAGTAATAATTATAATAATATTATAATAAAAATAGTGGCTACTTTTTGACTTGTGCTTAGGTCAGGCACTAACGAATTACTAAATGGCACGGAGACGTGACGGTGAGGACTTTGTCTTCATTCACTTCAATATCCCCTGTACCTGTAGCTGCACCTGTCACCTAAGAGGGCTTGCCCATTTATGCCTCATGTTCCATTACTGATATGGTAGTGACATGAGAGTTATTTATATCCTACTGCTCAAGGTCATTGCTGAGGTCAGATTTTTCACACGTCTACCTCCTGAGGGTACATGTTGTCTCTTGGTGCACAGAGTCACTGCTGCAGGTACTGGCATGCTGGGAGCTTGTCAAAAAGTCATACAAAACCCCTAAAAAATGTCAATCTCCAGCATAAATGTATTAATGAATATTTTTCAAATTAGTGGTTAATGAAGTCTGTATAATTTTTATGCATTTTAGTAATGAGGAATGGAACTGTAACTCAAGCCCATGTAGAGTGATTATTGTCGTTTTGATAGTGGGACATACTAACTTGACTGCAGCCAGACATATGTAGATATTTATTTATTTATTTTTAATTAAATCATAGCTGTGTACATTAATGCAATCATGGGGTACAATGTGCTGGTTTTACATACAGTTTTTTTTTTTTTTTTGATTGTGACCAGCA